AAATATTTTACCAATATTTAATAACTTTTGTTCTAAAGACGTAGCACATATGCTTAATTCATTTCTATTTTTTGGAGTTTGATGATACAACACATGCAGTTTTTCAATAAAACCTTGAAAATGATTAGTTCCAYGAACCTCTTTCAGAGTATCTGATACAGCCAAYTCAAGCCTGTGGTTACAACAATGCCACAGAATTATATTAGGGTAAACATTTTGTAGTTTAACACCAACACCTGACACTCTTCCCAACATGTTTGATGCACCATCGCTGACGAAACGAACAAAGTTTTTTTTTAAATATTCATGGTTGATTCCATATTTTGATAGATCATCGATAATAGCAGCATAAATTGTACTTGCTGATGTGTTTTGTAATTCTATTATGTCAAAAAAGAAAGTTATTATGTCTTCGTCGTGTGCGATAGCAGCTCTTAATCAAATTACCAGTATAGTTTGTTGCTGATTGTAGTAGATTYATCCACAATTATACATAATTTTCTTCCATTATGTATTATATCTTTGCAAATTTTTTTCCGCATTTCTGAAGATACATATATGGTCTATTATGTTACTACAAGCCTTGTCAGTTTGAAAAATGCGACTCGTTTCCAAACCATTATTTACATGGAGGTCTATAAGCTTGGGCATATCAGTATATGGTCTTTGATTTTTGGCAATAAAATATGCAGTTCTAAATATTTTTTCGGTTAATTCATTATCAATAGTTGAAAGATTCTGTAAATGTTTTGGTATTACTTCTAACATACTTCGATCAATCATTTGTTCAATTTTTAAATGCACCTGTGTGTTTTTATGCTTTGAGATTTTTTCCCTGAGACTTGTCTGCTGCTTACTTATATCAYCACCAACTGCTGTTATATTACCATCACGCTATTCTTTTGAAACATGCATTCCTTGTATTTTTATYAAATTTAAATTAGCCTTTTTGCATATTTTTCAACACAACTTTTGTTTTGTATGTTTAACCAATTATACTCATCAGTAAAGTATTTAACTTGATTTCGATCCCAACAATCTGGTGGTACTCCATCATAAGACAATCCACTATTCAATAATGTTTCTTGTTCCAAAATTGAGGACTATGTTTCTATAGATAGACAATTTTAGTGAAAAAGAAAGAGAAACCGAACAACTCGAAGAACAAGAAG